GACTCCAAAGGCATCTCAGATGTTGTTTCATTATCGCTGTCCATTAATTGAGAATGCTTCATTGAGAAATCAGTTGATGAGGAACCTAAATCTGTTTCTTTATGAATGCCTGCTCTACTGATCTCTGCTCCAGCTATTTCAGCATTTGAGACAGTTCTCAAGCTCCTACAAATTCTCTGTAGAGTATTTGAGAGGTTATTTAACAAGAGCTGTTGCTCTTCACTGCCTATACAATTTATTGGTAAAAAGAACTCAAGTACGTAATCATCATTTCTGGTGTATATGCTCCTCAGCCGGATTGCAACTGCAGCACGGAGACTAAACTTCCGAGCATGGTGTGCAAGTGGATATTCACATATATCATATACTTTTACATCAGGGAAGAAGAATGGATGATTTGATTGAAGTGCTTTTCCAGCAATGCCTTGTCCTTTCTCAAGGTGATGCTCAGCACATGCATGAAGAAAACCTTGCATTTGTGTGTCATTAACATAGCAAGCGGATTCCTGGATGCAAAGGATATGTCTTCCTGAAGTTGACTTCATGTCCCCAATATCATATTTTCTAGAGTCATTCAAACCATCGTCATACCAAAGGGGTACCCATGTTAGTGCCAAAGGCAACATGTGGCCATGACAAACAGCTCTCAGAACATCGAGTATTTCTGAAAATGCAGACATCTGACTCTTTGTGAGGTTCTGCAAAAAAAATCAAGAACCTTTTTTCTTAAAACTCATTCGAAAGGTTCACTCCCATCTTAATATAAACATAGTTGTGACAGAATTTATCACTACCTGTTGACGAGTCTGGGTTTTGATGGTCGTCAAATCCACAACCTGCAAAAGCAACAGAAATAGTAGCCTTCAGGTATGAAAAGTTATAAGAATAGCTTCCATGATTTCCTTGGTCTTTACCGAACCAAGATAAGTATATGCTGTCAAAGATCTGCCATCACCAACAGATAAAAATATACATAGGATGCATGATGGGCAACAGATAAGAAGTAGGCAGTCAAACTGCCACTGACGATTATTTATCATTGACAGGGGGAACATCCATAATATAAACTAAAAAGACAAACACCGATTCTTATTTAAATATAAGCTTGAATGTCTGCCTATTTTCGAGCAAGGATCAGAATAAGATGCCAAAGAACAACATTCAGACAGAAGCAGTAGCACATGAACCAAATGTCATTGACTCAATCAATATTGAAACGAAAGTGTCACAAGGTACCGAATGTCATGCAAGCACTGACCTGCAAAGCATTGCAAATGTTTTCCATCTCCGTATTGAAGTTGGGCTTAGCCACTGTTGTAACAAGCTCAAGCACCGCACAACAGGAACCTTCACAAGGATCAAGCACAGGCATGGCAAGAGATCCACGAACTTGATGATTAACCGCATCGTCCACTCTCATGTACTCATTTTTTTTGTAATAGGTGACATTTGAGGTCCACTCTGGCGTCCTGGATACAAATACACGCCCAGGAAGCCCGGTGAACATGCCAGGTGCTTCCTTCAGATAAAAAATAAAATTCCTTGAAACTTCCCGGTAACCAGCAAGATTTTTGTCTAGGAGAAAAGGCTGGTCAGATGTACTTAATACATACTGATCACCCTGCACAGTGGGCATCCAGACCTGGGCAAGAATTCCACTACATGATGATTCCTTAAACAAGAGCAATGCCTTGAGCATTCTTTCTGTAAGAGACACACCTCCAAAAGGTCTACTGACAGTTGAGATCACTTCACTGGATATGTCATCAGAAGCAAGGTAACTACGGCAATAGGAATTCCTAAGCCCCAGTGACAAATCAGCTTTTTGTGAAGCCATGTTCTCCTTGCGGTCGTCATTAGTGTCTCCAGGAACAGCTTTCGTACCTTGTGCTGCAATACTACTCGGTGACATGAAGGAAGCCCAAGTAGCAGGCGTTTGCTGAGCATCTGAAAAGTTTAAGATAGAAAAGATCTGGTCTGCAATCGTCGGGCTCCAGGCTTCAGTAAAACCATCAAAATCCATGAGCTCCGACAGGGCAGATAGATCATCTTTAATCTGGCTCGCATTCCCTCCATTACCCGTGGGCGGTAAACCATCCATACGAGTCTGACTGAGACTCAAGGGTCATCAACTTCCTTTCAGTTCTTGCACAAGGGTCAACCCTTAGCCGCCCTGTTCCACCAAAGAACCGATCTTTTTCCTTCAAGTAGCTTGATTCGTCTTTCTAGCTTGAAACAAGAAACAAAAGAATAGATCCAAAAGTCAGAAGCCAATCCCCACACAAGAAAAGCGATACAACGCTGCAACCACAACTCTCTTGGCACGACCAATCCAACATCCAGAACTTATCGGTTCACATTTCCATACCATATTTGCACCTAGCAGTCAAATCTTAGGACACAATAAAAATCCGTTTTCCCCCCCCGCCCTAAAACAGCCTCGAAACGCCAATTCCAAGTCACCCACGAAGCAATTCACCAGCCGCCCCACCTAATCCATCCCAGATATCGAAGCGAAAGATCAACAAACCCTGCTATCAATCAACTGAAGAAAAAGCTCAGCAGAAGGGGCTTTACGCCGCACGTCGAAACCCTAGCCCAAATCAGAGAGCGAACAGAATAATTCCCACGGCCATCACCTCGATTGGCCGTAAAATCTCTCCCATCCAGTTGCTCTTTCCCTTAACTTTGCGCTCCGACGTGCGAATCACCTGAATCCAATGAGAGGGAGACAGAGGAGTCGGCGACCGAGTGCCAAACGCCCAGGGATAGGCGGCGCTAAAGCGGTCGACAAATTGCGGCGGGCGTTAAACGAAGCATACAACCCACACAACCACACAATTACCCAAATTGCCATTTCAAATTGACCGATCTGATCGGTAAAGCTGGACATTAAGATAATAATAATTGAGACTCATGGGCGGTTCGGTCAAAATACAATGGATCAAGCCAGTTGCCGGACTCGGTGGCGAAGACAACCTCCCACACACGCGTCGACGAATGATTCGATCTGGCGTAAGAACAAATCTAGGATTGGTTGCGGTTAGATTCCATCTACAACCCCACCCGGTGGGATTCGTCGTTGTCAACGGCATGCGTGGCACGTGATCTCGTGATTTGTCATTCTATTTTTCGAATGTTTATTTTTGTGTTTTCCCTAATTTATATCTTATGATTAGTCGAAATCCTTCCCTTGCTTTCGATCGAATCGAAGCTAAATTGAATATTAAATTAATACGATTAAAATTCATCTTTTTAGACAAATTTTATTATATGGATAATTTTATTAGGTATTAATATAAAGTGTCAATACTTCACAAGTACTTACAATAAATGCTATGAATTAAAGACATAGCATAAAAAGAAATATAAAATTATATTGTTTCAATTGAGTTCTTATCGATAATTTCTTCCATGATTTGTGGATATATACATTGTAAATGCTGAGTTAAAACGGATTAGAAGAGGAAGAGTGAAGCCTAATCCAAACTATATTAGGCTGACAGGAGGAGGCCCAGACTGTGACTTGGTGATGTCTCCATGAGTACTGTAACCATGCACAGAGACAGATGAAGAAGCTGTGCTAACTGAACCTTCATCTTGATTGTTCTTGTGGTCTCACAAACCCTTGCAACACGGTAACATACGGGTTCCTTGTCTCGAGTTAGGAGGGCCTAAACAATGTGGTAGCTGTCGTATGTTGCTGTCTTTTTCTGCATGGAGCATGGCGCCCTCAAACCTTGACGTTGCAGGCATCTGCCAAAGAACAGCGGGAAAGGGAAAAGGAGGAGGAAGGGGAGGGACAAGCAAATGAAACCACCCATTGTTTGATGAAGTAGATAGAAAGATCAGAAGGCTGGCAGAAGATTGCAGTTGCAGTTGCCTTTCTGATGGGCCACAGCAACCAAGTTCTATGCACCTTTCAAGGAATGACAGTGCTGTCTGTGGTCTTGCATGCAGTCAAGGATGTGAAATATTTGGTTACCTTCTTCTCTGATGAGCCCTTTCACCAAACCAGTCAAGGCAGCAAGAAGCTTGCCTATGTGATGTTTACTGCTACGTATGGAGCTGTCCTAGTGGTGTCACCGCACCGACAAACCATTGGGGTTTTTCCTTGATCTAAATTTGTGGCGATGACATCGTCAAACAATAGGTTTAAGATCAGGAGAGGTGACAGAGCGGAGAAGAAGACTCCAAAGCATGACGAAGAACATTTGGTTGCCTGATCTGGGCCACCAGGCCATGAATCACGGCGGATGGAGAAGATTTGGAGGGATGAAATCAAACGCCGCAGATTACGGGGAGAAGTCTTTTGTCCGGGAGATGAGTATAGGTGGAGTTCGGTGGGCTGCATGCGGACTGCAGTTTAAGAAGAACAGGTATTGGTTGGAGATTCACCAGCCGGTCTGACGGTCAAAAGAACTCGAGGAGAAGAAGAAGAAGAAGAAGAAGATCTCAAACCACTTGGGATGGATCCATTCCACCACGTGAAGCAATCTTCCACCGGAATCGGTGCAGCGGTTCTTCGATGGTGGAGTCTACTCGGAGGTGACGAGGGGACCGGGGGGCGGAAGCGCGTGGACCCCGCGCAGGTGGGGGCCAGTCTAACCCTCCCTCCCTCCTCCCCCGCGCCGGCCCGTAGAAGCCGGGGCACGTGGGGGCCGCCGCGTAAGAAATCACCTGCTTTACGTGGGACCCCCGCACCCGACAGATCGCGCGCCAAGCAATTTTTTATTGCATTTGTGAGATAATAAAAAGAATTAGTTACGTCAAACGTTATGAGCTGGTGGGGCCAACGCTACCTGCCGCCGTGTACTCCGCTCCGTTGGGCCCCGCGCAAGGAATCAGCGATCATGATGAGACCGAATGGAAAATAGACAAATCAATTCTCTCCCACCACCATCCAAAGTGCATCAAAGTCCTAAAGAACATGTGTCAAGCAGAAATGAAATCTTTCGCATCATTACATATTCTCCCGTAATTTGTGCATCATGCATCGAAAGAAATCACCTCCAATCGATTCAAATTTCACGATTAGTACGATCCTGTTATAAATCAATAAATCCAACCTCCTCTAATTAAATATGTAGCACAATCTTTTGCCTCTACTACCTAGGCAAATCCAATGATCCACACTGTGGAATGTGCCAGCTACAGCAGTTCGAACTCGCATCAGAATGCTGGTTTTGATGCTATCAACCCCTGACAAGCCTCTTCAGAAGGCTCGGTCTAACCTGCAACAAGATTTGGAATCATCTTATCAATTTCCAGTGGCAGACAAAGATATGAAGAGTTCAAGAGTAAGACTGGATTTAAGAGGCTGACATCAACCCTTGCAGAGATGAGGGGCCCTCTCATGGGTTGGATATTAGCTGTCACAAAAGTCCATGAAGGTCTCTTTCCTCCGTTTCCGATCACCACAAGACTTCTTGCCACTGCCTCAGCTCTCTGTTTATATAGATGTGCCAATCCTTCTCCTCATGCTTAAACCCTCAGTAGTTACCAGAAGCTCTCTTCTCTCTCTTTCTATCATCACTTCGTTTTGATCCAGTGCAAGAGCGACTTTGAGATCACGACGTCTCCAGCGACTTTGAGATCACGACGTCTCCGGTGAGCAGATTCCAACGGCTTCGATCGCGAGATTCTTCGTGCCGCTGCTGATCAATCTTGCAGAGATTTTCTCCTCGGTTCCTGGTAGGTTCACTTTCTCTTTTGTGAGCTCATAACTGAGATCTCCGGCGATCACCTCATCCGTAGTCACTACCTGCTAAATTTTGGTGCAACGGTATGAGTTGTTAGTCTGCAAAAGTAAATAAGTCAGGTTAGGTGTGATTGTGGATGATAACTACAACTCGGGACAGTTTGTATCAACTGTTAGGACAGGTGGTATAGATAACAGGACAGTGACTACTCGACTACTTCCTTGTACTTCTACAGCTTATACTAAAAAGCTTACTGTTGATAAGAGCTGTCCATGAACGTACACCTGCAGCATTCAGCACATTAAACAAGGGTAGAAGACTCAAGGCTACCTTTATACTGTACGAAATGGGACCAAGAGTGCCAATATCTAGAAAGATGCCACTGCAATCTACAATAACTCTAGTTTACAATCTTAAACCTTTAGATGACTTGTGGTTTAGTTATGTATGTGTATATATATATATACATATATATATGTATATATATATAAGTGTAGATGATATTAGAGCAGACAAGAAAACCTGGTCAGCTTAATCTTGATGGAAGTCGGTTCTTCTTATGGCTGGTTCCAGTTGAAGTTCTGCAAGTTGAGCTGATACAAGCCACACTTCAAATAAGATTAGGCCCTTCCATGTGGTATGCCTTCTGGGGTTTGGTACAAGTTTAGTCAATATAGTCTCTTTGGCTTATTGGTTTATGCCCTGCCAAAGTTTTCAGGCCTATGAGGAGGAGAAGAAGGTTAAATGCATCAATAATAGAGCCAAATAAACAAACTGAGGAGGACAGAAGATTCTGGGTGGAGTTTAGCCTGTGCTAGAATGTCTAGGAACATGAGAGACAAGGAGACAACTGCAATAGATTAGCAGGACGCAGCAAGACCATAAACAGATCTATTCCATTTTGTCTTGCAACTTTAAACAGACCATAAACAGACCATAAAATTGAGGGCCACTCGTGATGATATCTTACAACTTTAAAACTAGTATGTCTGCTTGCACATTCTTCACCATAGAACTAACAGTAGACTATCTTGTTCAACACGATAGCGCAGATAGAAGAAGAAGAGGAAGATGATGATGACAGAAATGGTGGATCACAAACGACGAAGCCATGATGGCTTTGTTGTTCCCAGCAAGGTGAGCGGCCCGCCAAGAAGTCAAAGGGACAGCAGTGGGGAGAAGAGGCTCAAGGCTGGTGGTGGAGCCGGAGTAGGAGCCAACATCTCCACCAAGGTCCATCTTCTTTTCCTCCCATGACACTGTTGCCTACTTACAGCCAAAGGAATGAAACAGAAATGATCATTTGAGATTGGCAATCAGGAAAAGAAGGACAAGATTGGAGAGCGAGTGGCGAAGCTACAACAGCTAGTGTCACCGTTTGGAAAGGTAGGCAAACATGAACTTGACTCTAGTGGGTGCAGTGCTACTCTCTTTACCTGCCTTTCTTGTTCAAGATTGCTATCGAATAGTCACTTAACAGAATAATTTTGTGGATGCAGTCAGATACAGCATCTGTTCTCTCAGAGGCCACTGCTTATATTAAATTCCTACATGATCAAGTCCAGGTCCCACTCTTGGACCCTTCTTTGTGCCTATCATTCAGCATTCCTATTCACTAAACTCAACCAGAGTAGCTCAACTAAATTTAGAATGCGGACTGCTTAGAACGTTTACGGGGTTCATCTAGCTGTGTTTACCACAAAAAATTTCATCTAGCTCTGTAAATTGCAGGTGCTGAGTGCTCCATATCTTCAGACAACAGTGATTGAGACAGTGGAGGTGAGTCATAATTTTAATCAACTAGTTCCCTCTGATCACCCCAGAGAATAGACCAATGTCTTCTGTTTCTAAAACTAAGCTCTGATATCTTTCATGCTAAAGTACCAAGATTGTATATGCAAAAGCAAAACATAGAAACAGCATACCCTCTGTCACAGTGCAAGACAGAAAAAAAGGCTAAAGCAAACATTAAAACCACATAAATAGATAATCCAGCAGTAGCATCTGTACCTCAGTTGTATCCTGAAGTCGATAAGGGAATGTAGCTTTTGAACTCTTTTACTGACATGCTATCACTTATGATGTGATCTGTAGGAGAGAGAATGTTACAGCCTCAGAAGCCGTGGCCTGTGTCTTGTGCCAGTAGCCTCCACACTCAAGATTGCCCAAAGCAATGGTGCTGATCTGTGGGCACCAGCAAACTCAAACAGAAGACCATAAAATTAGAAGTTTATGATCAATATACTGGAAATACAGTGAAAGAGAAAGTGGATTACTTTCTGGAGCTGCTGCTGTCTGTATCTGGTGATTGAAGTAACATCAGCTCCAGGGTCCAGAGCCACTGTTAACTTGTTTGCTTAGTTAAGATGGTAACACAATTCATTCCCTCTTCTGACCTAGAATTCATTATAGTGTAATCCATCATGGCATCATCTTCATTCTGTAAGATATATTACACTCGTGACCTCATGTTGCATATGCTGACATGGTGTCCCTCCTGGTTGCTAGAAGCACCTGCATGCACTACTAGTGTAACAAATCAATATAATAAACCAAAAGCTGTGATGCGCACGGAGCCCTATTATTTGCAGAATCTGCTCATGGAGATTTAAAATGTTTAATAAAGCTTAATTTGACACGCTAAAAGGTGATTTTCGTTTGCTATTGGCATGTCTAATCTTTATAATTTATCCTCCTATACAAAGTTTATCCTTCTTCCATCATGATACGTCCCAAATAGATTGTAGCATTCAGAAGATTACCATCTATGTTAGAGTCACTGACCCAAAGTAGTAAACCTTAGGTTCATTGGTTAGTTCTTCCAACATTAATACGGAAACTCAAAGCAGCCTTTGGTTACCAACTGGAATAAGGAACATTAACAAAGATGCTAACAAATAAAAGCCTCAGAATAGGAAACGACAAAACTGCATGCATGTTAATCCAAAAAGTTTATCCATTATAGCCAAATAAAAACAGAAAAAATGTGAGACAAAACGAGCGGAGCAAACAAGCATCCCTGCAGTTAGCATGTATAACTAGTAAGCGTATTTCTTATTGGAGCAACATCACCTGAGTTAAGCAACTTACAAGTATTCCTGAGTTAAGGTAAGGCAGCTGCACATCATATTAGAAAGCCGATGTGCTTTGGGCAGAAAGATCCTGTTCAAACAAGATACGAAATGCCATATTCATGAGAAACCAGCAAACTCAGCAGATAGCAACAATGTGACTAGCCGCAAGCACTGCACTGCTTTGCATGTTCATTTTGCATATAAGTAATGACCATCTCCAAAGAACTTTTCTCCAACCTAATTCCTGCAGAATGGGGAAACCACCAAGAATTAACCTGGTGAAGATTGAAAAGCACGTAAGATCAAATGTTCTCCGAAAAACATAGGATTGAAATTTGGTATCTGTTTATGGAAAATACCTGACACAGGTTGGACATGTGAATATATTTGTTTTCTGTATCTATATCTATCTGGACAAGAAGTATCAGAATCAAGCCCTCTAAAATTTAATGTTTACGTAGGTAAAATAAATTAATTAGTTTCTCTCAGAAAATTGGACATACAATGAGAAAATCAATACTAAACATATTAAGGGAGTATCCGTGCAGTACATCTCGGAAGATTTTCCAGAGCTAAGTATGATGGACAAGGAATCCAAATGATATGCTTAAGAAGAATAATGGAATAACCATGTACTTCAGGTTGTACATTATCTTCTTTTCTTCAATAAGGAGCTGGCTCTTAAGAAAATCTTATCAACGGCATCCAAGTCAGCCAGTTTTACATCTTTAGTAGAAAGGTCAATCCGCTTTGAGGCAGCAGCAATTTGACGTAGATGCTCCTCAAAATCCTTTGGCTCCTCATCAATATTTGATGGAAATTTTTCCACTTCATCTAAATACAGAGGACGCTCTGATTTCTCCATCACCTCCATATCAGAATCTGTCTCAAACATGTCTGACAGATCTTCCGTCTCTGACCAAGAACTTGATTCCATCAACGAATCATCTTCAACTGGCTCACTGTTTCCATCTTCTAGTACATCAAGCACCTCAGAGCTTTTCATTTGGCAATCGGAAATTATTCTGTTATCAACAGCATTTGAAACAGCTTCTTCAGTTGTCTTACTTTTACTTTCTCCCTCTCTTTTCATCTGCTCTTGTAGATCGCCAAGGTCTTGATGAAGCTTAGGAATATACCTCCTGACAGCCCGTAAGGCATCTTTATACTTGGACTTATCAAGGGCCTGAATGAAATATAATGAGACAGTTTAAAAAGAAGAAAGCAAACGATATACATCACATGTAGTTAACAAGTTGTCAGAGAAAGAGGCATACCTTTTTTCTTGAAAGAGTAACCTTCGGGGACATAATCTCCGTTGGTGGTTGTGCATAGTTCTTTCCCCTGTACATAATAATTGTATTCTCCTCATGGATATCGAGCACAATTCCTCCACTTAATCTAGCCAATTCTGCTGCAATCTCACGAACTTCCTCTGGGGTGAATGTCTTCACGATAACCTTCAATGTCTGATGCTTCTTCCAGTGCAAATGCATGTTGAGAATCACTCCCTGGAAAATACCACGCCTTCCAACGGGTACATAGTTTTTGCATTTGTGACCCATCTTGAGGAGGTAGAAGTGCTCTTCTGGAGTAAGTATCTCTGGGTCATGGGTAGGCTCTGATGAGTCTGCAGGTTCAATTTTCTTCAATGCCTCAACAAGCCGTTCTTCCTTTCTTTTAGCCTTTTAGCAATGATAAAATAGTCAGAATTACCTAGAATCCCTTTATATTTTGAGCATAACAAAATAAAGCAACATAAACTTAGTTTAGAGAAACAACAATCTGAAACAATTGCACAAGCATTGCAGGATGATTAGTTGACAATCTGTGACTCAAACAAACTAAGGTAAGGAATCTTGAGTTAAGAACATAGGAGTATTATTTGTCCACTATATGACTAGCATTATACTCAAGCATCAAATACAAAATTAAATGAATAAAAAAACGTTTTTCTTCAAGAAAGAAAAAAGAAACATGTGCTCCAACTTCATTTAAATTTTAATGCTCATAAGCTATTATAGTGAAATTAATGTTCACTGCAGGTGAATAGAAAATGATTGCAGCAACATATGTAATTATCCACATAAAAGAACATGGCATAAAAAAGATCAACACAGAAATCTGCATGCTTCTGATGATGGTGATTAACATACGAACCACAGAAGTATGAAGTGATGAATTAAGTTTGTTAGTACAAGCCAAGCACCTTATGTGACTAAACAAATATTACATACTTCAACTTGCAGCTAACCAAAATGGTGACTTCGTTACAGGCTTATGGATCAAATAGGCAAGAAAGTAGATTCTTGAGACGTGCATGGAATTAATGATGACTGCACACCATATTTAGTGATAACTCTTTCAGCAAAATACAGCAGAAGCAAGGACATAGAGGTTTGGCAGTTCACAAGACTATATAGCGGTCACAGTCAGGCCAATAATCATATAGAGCATTCCGAGATATTACCCTAAGGACTTTGATTGAGAAAATTTTTCTGCAACCAAATAACCATAGTTGTGAAAAAATGTTCTTTCGCAAGATCAGCAAGCAGTAATAATAAGCAAGTAACTCTTATGTGTCATAATTGACTTAAAACACAACTTGACAGCAGGAACAATGACTACAGTAAAAAGCAGCAGATATAGAATGAAGAAAACACAAAAAGAAACATCTACATAGAGGATATGCTAGTAATTAATAGATTTGTATAATTAAAGCTTTTGATGGTCAAAGTGGGAAAGTGAAATTCCAAGAAAATTAAGCAAAAAGCTTCGTGCTGATTTCTTTTGCTGCTTATCGACTACATCAATAGGGAAAGAGAACTTTTGCATATGTGCTACAACCTACACATTTGGCATATGTGCTACAACCATACAAACCTACAGAAGAGTGACACAGCAAGATATGTTGCAACAAGATTAAGAGGACAGATTATCCAAAGAATACATTAGTGTCAAGTTGAAGTTCTATTTATAAAAAAGGCACGAACATTTATTACTAATAGTTAACCAATTCGATAATCATACTAAATGTTAACCAATCAGATGATCTTATTATGTGAAACAAATCAAAGATGCAAATGTTGAATCATTCTCAAATTCAAGTTGTACATATCATACAGAATGAAGCAAAGATAAAACAATGGGTGTACCTTTCTCATTTTGTATAATATCTTCTCTTCAGCGGTCATTCTTTCATACTCCTTTTTCTTCTTCCACCTAAAGAACTTGAGCCACTTTACAACAGCTCTTCTGCCTTTCAACTTTTTCCTCTTTACTTTTGTGGTGCTATGGTCATTAACAGGTACCACATTTTGTGTATCCTTTTGAGGATCCATTACAACCTGGCCTGTATTGCTAAGTGGTTGACTGGTGTGAATATTTTGGAAACCACCAGCATAAAAACCATTCACAATTCTGGCAGTCCACCTACCAAACTTTGATTAGAAACCTTACGGAAATCATTAGAACTGCTCCAACTATTTCACCAGAAACTAAAAAAGGCCCTTTTTATCAGTTCTTCATGCTAGTTTTATGAAAGTGAATAACAAAAGTCAAACAAATACCGGATATGTAGTTTCTAACATTCTATCTCTGCTCCGGATAAATCAATAACACGCAGATAGCCTTAACAATGCTACAGATGGACTCGTATGTCGGACAACTCAAAACTAAAACAACATGTACAAAATGATGATGACGATGTTGAGATGGATGTGCGGAATCCTTAAAAAAGACACAACAACAAATACTTATTAGATGGCGACGATGATGGAGATAGTACTGATTGGGGATAAAATGTTGGAGAACCATTCCAAGTGATATGGACCATGACTGAATTCAAGAAAACAAACAAGTCCTACTAAAAGCAAACTAAATTAAAAGAAACCAATAGCATAACAGATGTTTCCAACTATTACCTTCTCGGGCTAGCACTTGACCAAAGCCTCGGCGGCAGGGAACCTGTGATTCTTCCCCCTCGATCAAAATCTTCAAGGATGGTGCGGGACCTATCACGAGCAGAGTTCAGAGAACGTAGGGATCAAAGCGGAGGCAGAAAGAAGAGCCGGAGATCAAACTAACCTGGAAATAAGAGGAGGATGGCAGGTCGGGATCGGAGGAGAGACACAGTGCAGGAGATGAGACAGATTCCATCTTTCTATCAGTGAGCGGCTTCCCATCGATGCGGAGGATTGTCGCGGAGGCGGCAGCGGCCGCACGGGTGGGATGCGCCGCCCGCGTCTGAGGGCTTGCGAGTTGGGTTCGGGCCGCGACGAGCCCTCCCACCCTTTCAAGCGGTCATCGAACCGGGTCGGGTTTGTGTACCACCTATCCGTAACATACATTGGTTCCGCGGACTCTTATCGGGTCGGATCAGGATCGAAGTAGCTAATTGATCTGCCGATCGAAAAAGCGAGTTACGTCGACTCATTTATGTGGGACCCAGGATCACCGTGGTATCACGTCACCCCTGAAATTTGTCGAGGGTGACTCAACCCCCCTCGAGTAGAAGACCTCGATTGTGAGCTTGACCTCGGTCTCTCCCATCTTCTGTTTTTGGTAAACATATAGATTCATTTTGTTGTGTTGCAGATTTTGAAGGAGATGATTTTGCCACAATAGATTGAATTTTATGAAGCTTATATGATAACTTTTATCAATCATCCATCACAAGGGATGTGCAATACACGAAGAATCTTGTCATACCCAAAAGTATGGAAACATATGTCAAAGCTAAGCAAAAAAGATTGACATTAAGGCAGTTGAAAGAAACGCTGGATAAAGTCAAACCCCTTGACCAAATTAATCAGGTTGATTTGTTGTCCCGTCGATCCTTCTCTCTCATTGAATTCCAAATTCCTCAGCAGTGTCTGCAACCCTGTGCGTGAAGAGCATCAACCTCCCCGTCACTCTCTGCTTTCTTTCGTCCTTCTTCTTCTTCTTCTCCTTCTTCTTCTTCTTCTTCTTCTTCTTCTCCCACCATGAGGCTGCTACTAACTCAAGGCCGCGAACCCTCCGCCCTTCATCATCTGCTTGAATTCCTTGAAGTTGACCTTCCCATCACCGTCCACGTCCACCTTGCTTATCATCTTCCTACACTCCTCCACGGTGCGCCCTTGCTTGAGGCCCAGCGAGCTCAGCACCGACCGCAGCTCCTCCACGGTGATGAACCCGTCCCCGTTCTGGTCGAACACGTTGAACGCCTCGAGCATGTCCTCATCCTCGTCCCGCTCGCCCATGATCGTCTGGTACAGCGTCCCGAACTCGTCCACGTCCACGCACCCGTCCCCGTTCACGTCGATCTTCTCGATCATCGCCGCCAGCTCCTCCTCGGGGATGTGTATCCCCAGGTTCTTGAGCGAGTCCTGCAGCTCATTCTTCGTGATGCTGCCGTCGCCGTTCCGGTCGAACATCTGGAAGACCCGCTTGAGCTCCGACGGGTCCATCCCTGTCGCGGACGACGCCAGTCTCGCGGCCGGCACCTGAAATATGAGATGGTGGATTTCCAAAGGAGGAGGAAGCAGATGTCCTCGGGCACCTTCGCGGCCAATTTGAACCAGCAACAGGAGGAATAGGATGAGGAGCGAGCGAGCCAACGTAAATGCAAGAGGAGGGAGATGCGCTTCTCCGAGAGGATATAGAGGAGGATGCTATTTAGGTGGTGGCAAGAAAAGCATATCCCTACAGAGACAGTTGGCGTCGGAGTCATCTCCATTGCCCAAACCACTCGAGTGGCCACGAGGAAATTAAGGTGGTTACAGTTATTATTATAGTTATTATCGTTTTTTGTGGTCTTGACAATCAATCCATGGAGGAACTAAATATGGCAATAGTTATCAAACAGAGAGAGGTTTAATATTGGTATATAAACAAAACAACACATACGTGCACAATAAATCCTGGAAACATTACTGCATCAAAGGAAAGATCTCAACACACCACTGCATCAAATCCAAGCATGTGACAGCAGAGAAGGAAGACCGCTTGAGATGCTATATCGACACACTGTTCGGGATCCCTCTTCCTGTGACCCCCTTTTCGGCGCCAAGATTTGAAGTATCGGGATAGAGCAGCGTGTAGGGCACCTGAGCAGGTCCGCATCTGTTCTTCAACCCTCGGTTGCCGTTCCTCTCCTCGATCCTCTTCTCCACCTTGCGGAGGTCATCTCCAAACTGCTGGAACATGTGGAGCACGTGGGAGTCGTCGGTCCACTCCGAGGACGCCCTCTGGCCCAAGTACACCTCGTCGGCGGTGTGGCCGGAGAGCACCTCTATCAACGCCAGCCCCAGCGTCGTCGTGAACCGGTCCGGCACCATCTCAAGGAAGTACTTGTCGGGGTCGCGGAGGTACTCCGCGAACTCCGGCGTCCCCTCGTGCGGGATGAACTTCCTGCACCGCGTCGGTCGGTTGGGAGGGTACCCGGCGTAGGCGAACTGGCCGAAGTTGAGGGACGCATGGAGCGCCGACGCGATCCAGATGAGCGTGGTCAGGGTTTGGGACAGGTTGGCGACGGAGTCGAGAGGAAGCCAGCAGCCGTCTTCGTCGTTGCGCTTGTCGCCGTGGCCGATGGTGCGGACCTCGTGCCACCATGACTGGATCTCGACGTCCGAGGCGACGGAGCGGTCGTCGGGGTAGAAGTAGGCGCAGTAGTTGGTGACCCACGTCTTGATCGCGACCCACACGTCGAGGCCGTCGATGGCGTAGGGGTAGTCTTCGAAGCGAAGCCGGACGCCGGAGGGTTCGCCGGGGTCCTCCAAGGCAATGCCCCTAGAAATTTGACACTGAGCAACGAATTAAGCTCGACATCGTGGCGATTCAAATGGATCTCTGATCACCTTTTTAGAAGATCCAAAGGCAGGGCTTGCTCGCGAAATCGCCAGTTCCTGTAGATGGCGGAGGACATCTCCAAGGCGAACTTGCCCGGGAACATCGTCATCTCGAGGATGCCGCCAGCGTTCAGAAGTATACTCCGAGCAAGTGAGTTGATGTGCATGGTGTCTTTGAAGTGTGGATCGAGCAACTTGTAGATGGGGTGCATGGCACTCAGCTGCCTTCTCGTAGCTATGATGAAGGGTTCGACTGCCGCATGGGTATGCAACCTACACGGACACGAACGAAGCTTTGCTCATTGCAGCACCTGACAGCTTTAGATTTGAGGTCAACTCACCAGTGACTGATTAGCTGATGGTGGCCGGAGTCGTTCACGGCAACATGAGTCTTGGCGAGCTGCCACAGCGCTCTTTCACCTCCCTGGCTTGCCGGCAAGAACACCCGGTTGATCTCTGCCCCTTTCCCGTCACCAGGTAAGCTTAGCTCGATGGCCAAAGGCTTCAGGGTTTGATCATGGCGTAGGAACAGGAGAGTGCGAGATGCGTATACGCACACCCCTTGCTCGTTTATGCGCCTCAAGTACTGCATTATGTAGTCGTGGTGATCGAGAATGAAGATCCTGCGTAATTCCACAGCCTGCAAGAAGAACAACCTTCATCATTTTGCTCAGTCCTTCGTGTTCAACGAGCTGTAACATTAGATGGAGGAGAAGCTCTCACCTGATCGGCACTCAGACCTTCAAGGTTCTTCTCGATGTGCGAAGCTGTGATCGAACTAACCTTCCCTCCTCTTCCCACAGGTGGAAATCTCTGCATTAAATCTTGTCCGGATTAAAGAACGGTTTACTACATGCAAAGATTGAATCTTTTTCTTCCTACCTCCAAGCATCTGATCACTGCCGGGTTAAGCCCAGCAAGCGTCTCCCGCCCGAACTCCTCATCGCTCATCCATGCGTTTTCATCAGCTACAATGCAACAAAGCAAACATTAGATACTTCCTGCCAGAACCTAACATTGGTTGATAGTGTAATTGGCTCACTGGCGATGACTTCCGGGATAGGGAACTTCAATGGGTTCTCCTTCACTACACGAACGACTTCCTTGATGAACTCTTCAGGAACAAGAGCCTTCAGCTTCTCCATTACGACGCCCTCAAGGATGCTTCTCCTATGACTGCTGTAGAGGTCCTTCCTCATCTGCCCAAACGACTCGAAGTTCCTTATAGATCCTTCAAACACTGACTTCACTTCGGGGATCACAAAGTGCACGATGGCTCGGATGGAATTCGATATGAACTCGGAAAGCTTGACGGGGCTGAAACGATCGTCGGGAGGGACGTAGAAGTCCAAGTTGATGATTTTCTTGCGAGTCTCAGTCGCCCGATCTTAGAGAAGAACTCAGCGCATAAACTTATGGTAAAGTATGGACGGGGATTGGCATCAAGAAGGTGACCAAAACTTGGAGAGAACGCTGTACCTTGATTGCTAAGGGGTCTTCCTGTTCTGCATCTGCGAGGGTATGGGTAGCTCCTTGTTCCTCCCAGTATGGGTCTCTCATGATGAAGTCCTTTGTCTGGGTCTCCCAGATCATTGTAGCGGTCATAGTCATATATGCGTTCCCATTCCTTCCTCTCCCCTCTTCCGTTCCCTCTGAGACTAGCGAGCTCCTCTTGCCGGAGGCTCTGCAGGGCTGCTGGTGTCTGACTTGGCAGGTAGCTCTGTGATCGAACACATGGATGGCGAGATGATGATGCAGAGATACTGGTCTAGCAGTAGAAATGGCGCAGATCAACGGTACCGAACAACTTACGGTGTTGGCGAAGAACAAACGATCGACGTTGGTCTTGATGATTGGATACACCCATGAGTTGCAGTCGAAATGAACAGAGCGGTTCTCAGACACCTCCAAGGTGACAGATTTGAGCAAGAACTCCCGCCGTCCCCTGTTCTTCACAGCTATCGCTCCAGGAGTGCCGAAATCTGCCTCGAGGTAGAAGACGACGTCGTAGGTCGTGGTTTCGACGCCGTCATGCTTCGTCTTCTTGCCGTTTCGAAGGCTTGCCTCCCTGCTCAGCTTGCCGAAACCTGTGTCTATAGCACAAGAGTAGCAGAACCGTAAGTTTCGTTACATGTCCATTAGACTACTGAGATCGCTTACTCTCATCAGCTCGAGTGATGCTGTAGAGACTAATAGCAGTCGATTTCGCAGGATTGGATCGTCCGGAGGTCCGGTAGACGACGACCTCTCCCCTGAGGACAGGTTGAGTTTCATATCCGGCCAAAAGATTGAGGTGGTGAATGACCTTTTGGCGCAAATTGTCCCAGCAATCTTGCAGCATTTTCTCGATCTTTTTGCTTGATTTCTACCGATTGGTCTCTTTGCAGCTCTCCCAAGTAATCCTCAGCTTATATGGACGCAATGAGCTTTAAGGATCGATTGTTCTTCAAGAAAGATGAACACATGACTCCCAAGGATAAAGCCAAAGAAGGATTATGCTACCTTTATCTTTACTCTTGCATCAGATTCTTAGACTTGCTGTGGTTCGAGTTCAGGAATAAAGACATTGCGTTCTTAATCTGCAGACAGTGAGATTAGTACTGCAAATGGACGTATAACACAGAAAACTGATTGCTTGATTAGGTCTGCATGGCTGATGCAGATCATGTGGTCCAACATGCAATTAGACGAAGACTCAGAAATCTCACCTATTTGCATTGAGACTGATACAAAAGGGAGAATAAACAGTTGGAGGGAACAAGAAACGCTGCAGCGTTCATCAACAGATCAAAGATTCCTCCGACTTTTCGAATATTAAAGCACCGAAAGGTACAAGCTTGCTTGCAGTGAGAGCTTCTGAGAAATATAGTTTCATAGAAAAATAGACAAAATTGAAGAAAAATAAGCATGCAACGCATTGATTGTGATAATTTAAATCAGTTAATTAGGATCAAGAAGGTTGCTTCCATTGCAGCAAAAATCTACTATTCTGGTGGAAATTAAATTAAGCTAAAAAAAAAGGGATGATGCCAAAATTCGGCTGTTCATCTCTCGCTCTCTTTTTTTTTTTTTTTTGATAAAAGGTAATTATGATATTCGAACCTAAAATCTTATGATAAATTGTTAAAAATTTTATTAACTAAATTAATTAGAATCTTCTATAATATAAAATAATATTATAAAAAATAATATTGTAAATAGGTGGTATGGGTCGCGCGGATGATGCGGGCCCCACCATGATATTTTATCCACGCGTGCAGGTGGAGTGGGTT